TTAGAATTCCAACGAATTAACACGGATTATGTTCAAAATTACACACATTTGTCTAAAATTTTTATCCTTTTTATCTTTTCCTCAAAAAAAAAAAAAAGAAAAGAAAGAAAAACAGATGTTTCATTCATCAATTTATTTAAATATCATATTTTTAATAATTATCTATATTATTTATATGGACTTAAATTTTTCGATTAAATCTTATATTCTCAAATGGAAGAAAGAAGTTAAACGTGTTTTGATTATTCTTAACAATATTAGCTCTTCAATGACAACAAACAACAAAAATGTTTGTCATATATGAAGATACATATACGTGTGTTTAATATTGCGGGATACGTGGAACAAAATAAAAATTGTTATTTAAAATTTAAAAAATTAATCGAGTACATCAATATTTGCTGTTGAAAATATATTTATACGTATATTTTGAGAAAAAAAAAACAAAAAAAAAAAGAAAAAAAGATGTGAAAACAATAACAATTAGTTACAAATGTAATAAATTTAATATCCCATAGGAAAGGTCTAATTTCTATAAATATAAATGAATAATATGAAATAATTTTCAATAATTGAATTAAATTAAAAATGCAACTTTTTATATTTTTCTAATATTTGCCATATCTTTCATTCGTTCTCATCATTTTTTTTTTTTATATCTTACTATATTCAAATTTTTTCTACATTGCGTGCGTTATTTACCCCGTTACCCAATGATAAAACGACAATCTTAAGAGTTGGAATTCGATTGATATGAATCGAACAAACATTATCAAGATATACTACATAAACACGATAATTCTACCTGTAGATCTGATTTCCACGTCTTTTTTTTTTGTTTTTTTCCTTTTTTATCTTCCCTCAATGACAATTTATTTTCCAAATCGTTTACAATTGTTGCGACAAACAACAATAGAAATGGTAAAAAAAGATTATATAAAATAAAACGTTCTAAATAAATAGATAAATTTCTTAGAGAATAATTATTTTAATTTGTTTGTTTTTTTTTTTTGAGAGATATATACCCGGATTTTTGATAATAATTATTTATGTATAAATTAAAATGTTGATTTTCTTATGTATAATAATCATACGTCGTTGATCATAGAAGATACACAGATTAGAACGTAAGAACAATTTACAGAACAATCATATACCTGTATATATATATATCGTAAGATAGAATAGTTCGTTTACAGTAGACGACTAGCAACCCCTCCATGAACCCCTCACCCCTTCTTTTCGGTCTTTCAAATATAATCTATTTATAAACTTACGACTTATTGTATACCGATTAGTCTTTCGAAGTACTATCCCGTGTATATTCTACAACGATAAACGTGCATTTGAAATATATTATTTTTGCCAAATTATTTTCGAAGGATAATAACAACAACAACAACAACAATATATATATACAATTTTAGAATACTTCGTTCAATGTATAGATTAAAAGTAAAATTTATAAGTGTGTTTTCTATCAATTGATTCAAGGATCCATCGTTCATCTTTCTTTTTTCCTCTCTTATATAAATATATATATATATATATATATATTGTATACACACAACATATATTTATTAAAAAGTCAATAAAACAATAAAAATAGTAATAATAAGAACAAACAAGATAATAATATATATATATATATATATATCATAATTGTGCATGTGAATAATGAAATTAAATTAATCAAATATTTTTCATATATAATTGTAATAATAATAACAATAAGAAATATTATAATATATCATATAGTTACGCGCGTGAATAGAATAAAATTAACGGAATCACGAATATTTTTCAAATAATTGTAAAAAAACATATTTAAAATAAATTAATAATAATAAGAAATAATAATGTATCATAATTGTGAGAGTGTATAATGAAGTTAAATAATAATTAAAAATAAATTTTAACTAATATATATATATTTAGTGAGTGAGAGAGAAAGAGAAAGAGAGAAAGAAAGGGAAAATAGTGGTTGAAATATATACGTGTATTTATAATAAAGGTTTTAAATTTACTCGATCGTGAGGATATTAAAGTGTAAAAGAGAACATTCACTAGCGATCTTTACGTACGAGAAAGAGAAAAACGAAATGGCAGGAGTGCGAACAGCGTGCCGTGGTGTACTATATAAATAATACTTCGCGCAAAGACAAATCAGTCGACTTGCGGCCGCCGTACCTGTCACGGTATAAAATGCAACGTTAATATTCTACGAAAAAATTAGTTTACTTCGACGTATATACATACACATACATATATAATATATATACAATATTTCTTATAGTTTTTTTTTTTGAAACAAACCCAAAAAAACAAAAAAAAAAAGTTAAAAACCTATTCCCATATCTTATTTTTCTTTCTTTATTATTACTTTTACTTTCTTCTTCTTCTTCTTCTTATTATTATTATTTTATAACTCTCTCACTTAAAAAATTAATAATAATAATATTTCCGAAAAATAAATAAATTTCTTTCGAACGATCGATTTATCGATTGAACGAACGATCGATCTATTTATTTGTTAAATCGATCGAATTTAACGTTCATCAACGATCGGTTAGTTAGTTTACTTAAGTTGCACACACGGTAGCCCCGTAAACACAAACAACATTCGAAGAAATTACAAACGAAGAAAGTAGTTACAAAGAAAAAGGAAAGAGTGCACAAAAAATATTCGTGAACAATCGATACTTGTCATCGATTGATCCACATCCATCCATCTATCCATCCATCCATCCATCCATCATCGATCGGGGAAGGATGTCGCACGACAACTTAGGATTTACGGCGAGTACGGTGAGTTTCAATATGAACAAACGATAAACAAGAAGAAAAACAAAAATAAAATGAAGTTAATGAGGAAAAAGATGTTATTACATATTTATTGTCGCGGAAAAGAAATTAATCTTTGTTAATATTGACAATAAACTTATCTTTTCTTTGGTATATGTATGTATATATATGTGTGTGGCGTGTGTGTATGTACGTTTGTTTATCTGTTATGCCCTTTAACGCGTGCTATTGTATAGATCGTATATTCTAAACTAATTACAATTGAATTCTTTTTCCTTGTTTTTTTTTTTTTTTATATATCATCGTTTTATTGTTACTTACCCGAATAATAATTTCAAGGTATTATTTTAACGAACTCATTTTATACTTTGTTCAAAATAATAATATATTTGTCACGACTATTTTTTTCTTATATTATTATCACTATTTCTATCTTTTTTTTTTTTTTTCTTTTTTTTTTTCCTTTTTACAACTCTTCCAATATTATTATCTTTTAAGAAATATATTTCGTATTTCGTTTTATAGTTTTTCTTTGTTTTCTTTTTTTAAGACGAATCTTAATTATCCGCGTTCGAAAAACTATAAATTTCTCTTGCCAATTACAGGTTATATTTAATCTTCTTTATTTTTATCTATTTTTCCTTTTTATTTCTGTCTACCAATTTCACTGTAATTTTGTCCATCGAGTCGAGATTTTTTTTATTATTATTTTGTTCTTTTCTTTTTTTTTTTTATTCTTTACGAGTAACGTGCAATTTATTTCATTGATCATATTATATCGATATTTGGATATAAATTTTGATACGATTGTAATTTATACTTTGAACAAATAGTAGAGGAGAAAAAGAAAATGAATTAAAGTCTTGTATAATTATTATGTATGTATAACTCACGTTGATTGCATATCGTGATTAAATTATTTCGTATCGTCGTATACGTGTGTACATATATTTACTATATATATATATGTAACCTATTACGTTGTAATTTTTTTTTTCTGCTTCTTCTTATTCTTCTTTTCCTCTTTAGTATAACAAGGACATGCCTACAGGTTTTGTCTCTTTTCGAATGTATCCTTTTTCATACATGGTGTATCCTTTAAAATCTGATTATGAGAAAACGTTGACCTAAATTGACGAGCATGCATAATCGAGCTATAATAATATTTTTCTTTTTATTTTAACCATTTAATTTCTCTCTCTCTCTCTCTCTCTTTCTTTTATTCTTACTGTTTTTTCTTCTTTTTTTTTTGGATTAAAACAAGGATCATATCTTTCGTTAAAAAAAATATGATGATAATAAAAAATAACGAATAAATAAAGGGAAAGATGAATTTAGAAAATTTTCTGATGATAATTAAAAATTGTAGACAAATGTTTTACTTTATTAATCCGTATTTATTTTTCTATCACTGTTTCTTTATTATTATTATTATTATTAAGGAAAGGATTAAATTTTGCAAATGACGATAAAAATTTAAAGATAAAAGAAGAGATGTTATTATTTTTGTTTGGGGGGGGGGTTGGGACAATTTTTAACGATAATTAAAACGATAGAAATAATTTAAACAATAATAATATTATATATAATTGTTAAATCGTATTAAGTTTATATTATAAATATAAATAAATCAAATACATCTCTTCTATCTACTTAATATAAATATTATATTAAAAAAACAAACAATTTTTAATACTCTATAGTTAAATTTATAACAAATGAATTACTTACAAAGTAAAAGAAGTAACCTCGACAAATCCGAAAACGATCTCTGATGGAAAGAATTACAATTTTTGTTCTTAATGGCGAAGGACAAAATAAACATTTGCAATAAAACTATCTCCTTATTTTTATTTTGCAATGGCAATGAGTAAACTGTTTAAACTCGATATGTTAATCGTTTGACCCTGAAAGTAAGAGAGAAGAAAAAAGGTGGAAACAAAGTTAAAGTTAAATATATGCATAAGAACACTTTCGCTTTTCGTTCAATCGATCTAACACAATAAATCACGTTTAATCCATTATTATTTAATACGAAGAACTCATGTAGAAAATTTATCTTTACTGTTTTCGATTGATTAATTTTTTGGAATCTACATTGATCACGATATTTTATCATTAATGATCATTTTTTTTTATTAATTACGTATTTCTTCTTTAGACGTCATTTATATACATATATATAAGGATTATATATTATATATATGATTGATAAGATATAATATGTGACCCGTAGAAATATTTCAACATTTAAATATTTAAAATTGTATTTAACAATAATTTATTTAAATAAGTATTCGTATTGCACACACAAGTATAACGTTTAAAAATTAATGACAAAAAAATCTAACGATACAGAATTATTAGTAAATTTTTAATTCATATAAACGAAAGATTTGGAATGTTTTTTCTTTATATTTTTTATCCAATACGAGACCATGGGGATTAATTAACACTCGAGAAATTATAATCAATTATTGTCAGGTTGATTTTGTTAAAAGTTAAATGTAAAATCTTATAAAACGATTAGAATAATTGAACGGTCATCATATTCGGTATCGATATAAGATTATCTATAAAAGATTATTCTTTAGAATTAACAACGCGTTGTATTTGGTTTGAACCAGTTCGATATAACTATGATTGAATATTTAAATTTGTTAGATCAGAGCCAAGTCAATCACATTACAATCATGCCTACGTTCTTCGTGTATTCATTGATGCCATTTCTTTTTTTAAAAATAAACTTGCTATTCGATTCGATCTTATAGATATATATATATATATATATATATATATTTATAAGATTATATATAAAACATAACTATATATAATATAATCGTATACGATTCTCATCAATTAAACCATTTGATTTAGTACAAATCAATTTTATTTTTATTTCAATTTTAAATTAACGATCTCACGTAAAAATTTATTTTCTATATCGCGTAAAAGATATATATTTTATTGTTGAATATTTTTTGTATATCTTATAACATTGTATATCGTATTATAATACATGGGATTTATTTAAAACAAATGTAAAACATTGATACAAAATTTGTAGAAAAAAGAATTTCATTAAGATCAAAATATTTGATATAAATGATGATTAATATATTTTTAATATATAATATAAAGAAAAATATATTATATATATATTTTAAATTCTTCGTAAGACTTACTTTTGTAATTATATCGTAAATATTAATTGTATTATTAAAACGATACACTTTGTGTATACCCATTGTATTTCTATGTAATACAATAATGCACATAATATGCACGCGTATATACGTATGGATAAAAAAATTCCTAAGAAGAATTTCGAGGATGAGTAACGTATTTTTAACTTCGTTAAATAAATGCAACTTTTCTTTTTTTTTTCTTCTTTTTTTCTTTATCTCCATACACATTCATGGTTGCGAATATCTTTACACACACGTGATTCATTCTTCTAATATTCATTAAAAATTTATTAATCGCATCGTATTCACATATCTTTTCATTTTTATTCTTAATCATTCTTCAAATATCTTTGTTTTAATCGCTGATTTATATAAGTTCATAGAATTATCTTATATATATATATATATATTATGTTTAAATCAGGTCAACTTGTGTCTTTAATAATATTTCCTTAAGAAAAGAAATTTTCCTACTCTTAAAATGAAATATTTTATTTGAGATACCGAAATATATTTCATTATCGATTACGCGATTCTTCGTCACGTTCTATCTTTTTTATATTTTTTTTAGATAGGTCACAACGATAACGATTACAATTTATATAAACGTCATAACTTCTCGAATCTTCAAAAAGTTTCTTCATCTTTACTTCTTATCATTACTTTTCAATAATTACGAAAAAATTCATGATTCGTCGTCTGATGTGAGAGATGATCGTTGATAACGAAACAAGTTTTGAACAAATTTGCATTACTTGTGCATTCGCAGATAAATACACACATATATATATATATAT